TCAAAAGCCTACTGTTTTTTGTGTTCAGTCGAATTCAGTAAATAACTACAACAGGGAAAGAAGTTAGGGGGTTTGGCAGATTTCAATAATTCTATTGACCCAATTGCGAAAACTTCGCGGCTTCGGTGGGAGTCGAACCCACACAGCAGGGAAGGCTTTTGCGCGGCCGACGCTCTACCATTTGAGCTACAAGGCCCACCACACGCCGTGAATTTAATAACGCTTGGGTCGACTTGTTTGCCCAAGGTTAGCCTAGTAGTCCATACGATGGATCCTAGTTGACAAATTAGGAAACCCTGCCAGGTAATCAGCTTACTGCGTCCGTATTGGTGGACTCCATAAGTGCAGTAAAGCTGGGCAGTCAAATCGACCCAAGTGTGATTAGATTCCCGGCGCACGGTGAGCCTTGTAGCTCAAATGGTAGAGCGTTGGCCGCACAAAAGCCTTCCCTGCTGTGTGGGTTCGACTCCCACCGAAGTCGCGAATTTTCCACCATTGGGTCAATCGCATTAGGGAAAGAAGTAATTTAATGGCCACTTTATCCAGCCTCAAAAGATTCACGATGGAGGTGTCCAGGTAGTCGCTTAGTCACTCGACAGACCCCTAAATATTATTTTCGGGTGTTAATTTTAGATCAATATGAACATTAGGTGCGGGAAATATATTGGTCTTTCGGTCCAAGTGCCAACATGATGCACCGGGGCAGTAGCAAGAATGGTGTTGTCTCGGCAGAAGTAATATACAGGGTGTCCACGAAGTCTGGGTACATAGGGGATAAATACATACATTTAGAACAAAAGAATTTTATTTAATTATAATGTTAGGAAATTATATTTTCAATATGATTTCCATTATTTGCAATGCATAATTCGATGTGCCTTGCTAAATTCTGGTGAACTCGATTGAATAGGTGTTATTTATTCAGGGCGCATAGCGAGGAGGCGTCAGTATTCACTGTCCAATCAGATAGGACGGAACATCGATAATTATTAACGCATTGTCAAGCCACGGCGTGGA